TTATTAAATTAAGTATACCCCCTTACGTGCAATTACTTGCTGCTACTCTATGTCAACGACAGTTTTGAGCCACTAGAGCAGCCTTAACAAAATCACATCCTTTTATTAAGTATACCCCCTTACGTGCAATTACTTGCTGCTACTCTATGTCAACGACAGTTTTGAGCCACTAGAGCAGCCTTAAATTCTCAAAATCACAGAGACCATGCCTGGAACGTACAAAATTGTTCGTCATCTTATATACACGACTCTTTAGATTCACTGAGTAAGGATGTAATGACCTCATTTGGGCTTATTAGAGAGAGACTGTGCGTATCGACCTAAGCGGAACAGTAAAATAAGGACCACCATAGGAGTTGTGCAACTACGACAAAGTTAAGGTGAACGTGTCCCAGATTACGAAGAGCTCATACGTACTCGAAGTTGCAGTGGAAATGATGAGATTGGGAGTCGGTAGCAAGTTAGTCGGCGTTTTTCGATTTCACTCAGTTTAGATGAGTAAAAGGAACAGAACAAAAGTGCACACGCTCATTTCTAACAACGGCGGAGAGGCATGGATGGCACGCAAGAAGGTAGGAAAACATACCAACCAACTTTTCAAAGATAGGTCTTGGAGGGGAAAAGCAATCAGTAGTTATTCCTTCATTACGAACAGCGCAATGCTTCAGCTGTGAAACCTGAATCATCATACGGTCATTCGGTCGAACAATACACAACTTATTCTTGCAATCGTCCATTAAAAACGCTCCAGCAAAATAGTACAAAAGGAAGTGAAGTGAGCGGTAGTGAAAGTAGTGTGATTTAGTGGTCACCACAGATGGCTAAATTACTGTTGACACTGATGCTTCACTGCCACACAGCCAAGTTTATGCAATTTTACTTCGAGGTGCGTGGGTGCTGCTGACCCATCGCAAGCAATCAAACCTGCTCAATCAGATAATCTTGAAAGAAACCGACAAAACGAACACAACTAACAACGATCAACAAACATTTCTCGCAATCTTTCCAGCAATGTGCAAGAGGCCACGTGGACCCCATTCTGGAAGGCTCATCAAACAAGCGACACCCAATCTCTTCGTAATCTCCTTCACAACATTCTGCCAGCCGAGCTACTGCATCTGAAAGTGATGGATATTTTCCGCGACTGAAGTGTCCACCGCACAATTTCCCTAACTACCACATTACGGATTTCCCGTTGAAATCATCCGACAACAGCAACGATTCTGAGGCATTGGTGGTCGAAAACCTGAAAGTACCCCATATCACCTGTCCGAAGAGATCATGTCATGGACCTCGTTAACACGACCCTTGAGATCCAGTGATATGGCATTTTGATGCCAAAATTTAACGTGATTCTGGGCTTTGGGGTGGACTTTAGCAGACCCACTTTCGTCAGAGCTAACCCAATCACCGAGGTATGTAAAATTTGCAAAAAATAGTGTGAGTTGAAAGATGGATGATATCCAAGGAGAGTCAAGGTAGACTGTTGCGACAGGGCACTGGAAAAAGCCCACCTATGAGATATTAGTTCACTCCTATGCTATAACGAGCGACGAGTGAATCGTTGAACAACAAGTATGTAGAAGAGTTTTAAGCAACCTTGTGAGTAGTTTCCTCTATAAAAACATGTACTCACATGCACTCACACGAGATGGCTCAAGTGGTTATGGAGCACGAATTTACTGGCCAGAAAGTTCGTGGTTCGAACCCGACCTCTGCTTCTCGACTTTTCCTGTCTAGGCTTGGGCGACCTGGCAGTATCCCAGCCCTCGTGCTTCCTTCGGGTGATATGTCAGCTAGGCACCGAGAAGGTACTACAGCTGAACGATTTTTTCGACTCACATGTTTTGTGACACGTTCCGTACTACAGAGGAGGTTACGAGTTAATATATGAGCACGATGAGGTGCTTGACGGTTCCTACGCACGACAGTCAGCGACTCCGTGGTGTATGGTACTAAAGGGATTCAGTTAACAACAGCCAGTTACGGGAGTTAATAGCCTAGTCGCATTGAGCAAACTGCACAGAAGAGACCGAAACCTGACCCCAGTGGTTACAATGACGATACCGACGGACCGAATCCAGGCTCCTAGTGTCGACTCGCAGATCGCATTCTTCTGTACGACAGCGCAGACTTTCGCAGAGCCGATGCAACGTGAGCAGAAAATGGCCGAAAGGAAACTAGTAAGGTATCACTGTGAACAGGGAGCGCCTTTTTAAGAACAGGACAAAGATGTTTGCTCCTCGGGAACGATTGTTCCTCACAGGTGTACAGATTTGTCCTCTTTATATCATTCTTCACAGAATTATTGGGCAAATTCATCTAGCTCGTATTTGTTGATGCCCATTACTGCCACTGTCAGAGAGCTAGTTCAAAACACAATGGTTCTTTGACTTTGAATGAACCCATTTGTGAACGGAGTCACAGAAAACAAGTATCAAAAATAGGCATACCCGATTAAAGGCCTAAAATAGGGGTTGATGGATTACAACCATAAAAGCCAACGACCATGAAGCTACAGGTACTATTTAGACAGCCCGGCGTGCGACAAAGAAGAGTAAAGATGATGCAGCGATTTGGGTGGTTCCTTGTGGATCTGAATCCGCTTAGCGATTCTGCGGGCATACAAAACTCGGGATGACTCAGTGGTTAAAGCACAAACTTGCCGACCGAGAGGCCGGCGGTTCGAACCCGACCTAGGCATGTTGACTGTTTGGGTAACCTAGCAGTATCTCAGCCCTCGTACTTCCTTCACGTGGGATAGCAGCTAGGCACCGAAAGGGTTGCAGATGGTATTCGACGAACACCAACTTCTTACGAAATGCTGCAATTCAAATGACTATAGGCCGATCAACACACGTTTCGCTTAGAGCTCAATCACCGAGATACGTTCACTTTCCTTGAAAGCAATGACCGGATCAACCATAGTGATGGTGGAAGGGCTAGCCGGACTAAAGGTATGCTGATTCACATGCTATCCAAACGGCAACCTGGCTGTTAAGTAGGCTTGGTCTACTTGTTGGGTTATCGAGTTTAAAGTGCGAAACCCAGTATTTGTTGTATTGTAAATATGTACGGATACGGCTGAGCTCATATGCACGGTGAGACTGCCGAGAAGGGAGACTCGACTAAGTAGTGAACATCATACTGGTATTGTTCCGCATAGTGTGCAGCAAGCAGGTTCCGACGCTAAGATGCTTAGGTGTTTTGCTTGATATAAGCAGTATGGAACGAGTGCTCAAAATCCGCAGACAATCCACTATCGGTTTCATCCTGTTTTGGGTTCCAGCAGGATTTCAAAGCCGGCATCAAGTTGAGAAGGCTGGAGGCCTTGATATACTTTACAAAATAGCGATTGTGAGCGAATAAACCAATTCAGGGAAGAACAGTCTTCCCGGTGTATATCAAGAAAGCAATAGACTCAATTTTACGACCTTTAAAACCAGCGGTGGGATAAGCAGGTTTGTGCTAAATGACACAAAAGCTAAGTAAATACGGACCGCGCGTTAGTAGCAAAGGAAGCACCAAATGAGAATGGGCGGGTAGTACTTTGGACAGCATCCTGGTTTCATTTCAGGTTAACTAAAATGTAAAGGGGTGATCGACCGAAACACCTTTCCTTTATATGAATTATTGGTGGAAATGAAGCTAGGAAACCGACAGTTTTCACCTGATCCGTGCTTATACAAGACATAAACCTTATTGTCGGTGGACGATGAGCACGACAGCCGTACTGATAAACCCAAAGATAGTTTGGGTTGGCAGTCCCTGGCTTGCGGTTCCGTCCACTATGGCATAACAAAAGGCAAGGCAGCCTGGAACAGATTCCCATGAAGACAACTGTGGAGCAATCATAGAAATTTTCCACATGGTCAAGCTAGAATATTTGCGAAGGGGTCGAGAAGCGTCGGGCTGGAAGCGCTCGACCCTGATTGGCCCACAGTCTGCCTTGTTAGTCCGTAGCCGGCTCGCCACACATCCGTCCAATCGAAGTGATGCGCGGTTATTAGGAGCGGCTCACTTCCATGAACCAATGCACTGTTATGAAGTGTCAGAAAGACTAACACACAAAAATGCTGCTCGTGTGGAAGCTTTTGAAAGCTCACACACTCACGACGCTGCCATTTCTAGACAAAAGTAGTCTAGCGAAACGCTGTAGGACAGTAAATTAAAGCCTGGCGAAGCTACGAGTTAGTGAGTAGCTGAAGCACCTGTGTAGACTACCCTTACTATAAAAAAATAATACTTCCAGCTGCAGCAACTTGTCGGTGCCTTTGAAAAAATACTGAATGATAAACAACCATTAGAAGCAGATATCAAATTCGGAATCTGCACTCAGAGTAGCATTCGTAGTCGATGACAGACACAACATATAAACGTTATCGGGAGGTGGAGGAGAAAACCCGAAACGGAATTCACCTTGAACATAAACTGTAACCCGATGTGGTTTTCAAGTTTGGGATGGTTCTTCAGAGCAAGCAAATCCAAATGCAATCCACTGTCTTCGTCGACTCTAAACGGAAGTAAAAAGTAAGTTAAGTAAGTAAACAGAGCAAGGAAGCAAACTATGTCCAAACAAGATTGATGTGTGACAAAAAAGTGATGAAAGATCAACGCGGAAAAGAAGATTTAACTGTACGTGGCTACATATACATATTTGGAAAAACCAGTGGTCAAGAGCGTTCCAACGTAGGAAAGACTGAAGAACAAATAACCAGGAGAGAGTGATGGAGTCATTATCATTTGGAAACGGATGCTAGGAGACGACGCGTTTTTGATTTCCGGGGAAGGGAAGATTAATATTGCTTGAACACATGACTGTTGAGTCCAGATACTATTGAGCTCTTGTCAAAACTCAATTTTAAATCTCAGATATTCAAATGACTCAAACTCCAAATGACATGGACAAAGACCTATTGACAAAAAATCGACGTCCGTGTTTTTTGTTTCCGTTTTAAAGACGTGACTGACGGAGCGAGACGATGAAACACCTCGCAGATGCACAACGACATAAACTTGTGAGTTGACGGTTACGATATACGGTACCGTCAAAATAGCATGCACTAGGAAACTACTCACAAGGTTGCTGAAAAAAAGCCTAACACTTGCTTTGAGAGTTCACACAATCGTGCGAAATAAAGTGAGATGAAGCCAACCAAACGAAGCACGGGAAAACGCGACCGAAGTGGCTCATACGAGCGTTAAATAAGACAGGCAACTTGTACGTGCTAAGTATTCATAGAATAACCTGGAGCAGAATAAGACAAACCCCACAGCAACCGGCTTCATAACTTGGTTTCCCTGAAATGGCTACTGGGAGGACACAAACAACTGTTTTCAAAGGCTTATTCATAATCATTATCAACACTGACAGCAAGACCAGGGAGAACACTGCCGCACAGCCATGTCAATGTATATGAATTAAGCCGTATTGTGGATTGATAAAAATGAAACAGGTAGGGGGACCTGGAGGTAGCTGATCATCAAAATCTGAGGTGCCCACACATCAAACAACATGAGTGCAAGTTGACAGCATGATCCCAACTGACATGGGTTAGCCATCATATCGTTCAGTATCTCCAGTCAAACAGAGGGAGGGTTAGACGGCGAACAGTATAAAAGCACCCATACTTTTCACAGCAAACTTCATTCCATTCAGTCGTATTCTATCTACCTACAGGTTTCAACCACTATGAATTAAGTGAGGAAAACAATGATATTCTCGACAGACGGTAACTCTCATGCGTAACCTATGACCCAGTCAGCTTAGTTTGCAGCGCTGGATGCAATCTTCGCGCTTCACCATGTCAGGACGCGCCCAGACAGGAAAAAAGCACATGTGCAGAGAGTGACGCATCCTCAAGGTCACCATCGGTACGACACGTCCGGAAAGTAGGTGAGTTGGCGGCCCACGCCAAACACGGCTTAGCAACACACGACCAGCGAAGTGGGCTTGAAAGTGTTCACAACCGGAACACCACCACTGGCTTGTACAGAACGAACAAGTGAACGACCGTATTTGGCCATTTAGACATCCTATACATTTACGCAGACGCTCTGTATGTTTTGTCCCGGCAATACAGCCGTGTCCCGAGCTCTCTGTCTTCCCCCTATCGCGTAGTCTGGCAGGCTCAGTGCAGGCGTAACCAATAAACGGCCACCCACGATACAACAGCCAAAGACCCATTTTCTGATAACCTCGTTCCGAATGCGCTGGTTACAGCCAATTCCAGCTACACTTCTGCACCGTTTGTGGTCAAAGGCCTGAAGACATCTCAGCTCCTCTTCCAGAAGTGACCGAGTCTCAACCGTACAGCCCGGAGTGTAGTCTAATATAGGCGTCTTTTAAGACCCAGCGATAGGCCTTTGTGATTCCAGAGGTGGCGCAAGTTGGGAAAAGTAAGTTTGGCCTTCGAGAATGGTGCGTTCACTTCGTCTGTCACACTACTGTCAGAGCTAGTGCAGCTTCCGAGATGTGTATAGCATTCCACAAATCATCATGCGAAGAGTAAAGGGGAGATGAAGGGCGGGGTGGTAGCCTGTAGAAGCATTTCAGTTCGTCAGTTTATCAGCTATCAACCATGAATGAAGGATACGTCGGTTCCGGCTGCTCCAGTTTCGATCGCAGAAAAACGGCAGAGCAGGGTAGATAGAGCTAGGCATTGAAGGCCATATATAACCAGCTCGTTGATGTTGAATCATGAAGGTGAGAGCATTGGAGCGGATACACTTGATGAACGAGCGCCACTGACCACGTGATTCAGGTATGTTTGCCAGTGTCACTAAGCACTGAAGCGGAGGAACCAGGGTCTTTATCCAGGGGAACGGCAGTTATCAACTTGACTGCGGTTACTTATCAGTGCCTTCATTCTTAGGTCGTAGGTTGTTCGACCTCCTACCCTCCTGCTAAGTTACAGGATGACCGTCTCCCGCCTGGACTGCGATGAATAGGGCATGAAAAATATCTAATACACCAAACTATTAATCAATAATCAAAATGATCAGGCCGATGCAGCTGGTACCAGTACGCTCAACAAAAGCGAATAAATGCAGAATCCAGTTCAAGTTTTCCGGCTCCCTACACCCCGTAGGGACTATGGCTCCGAGTGTCATGTACTAAGCGATTACTCGAGCAAAAACCGCCAACTGCAAATTTAATAAGTTGACCGCCAAACATCAGCGAATAGGTTGTACATAGTATGGACGAATTCCCCACAGAACTGTACGATTTCCGTGGCTGACACCAAGGGAATTCTCGCACACAATCGCCCAATTCGAACTGCTAACGATCCGGAGCTTATTTGACGAAAACAGATATTGAACAGCCCGCTATAAGTTTTTGTACCAGCCAGAAATTCTTCGTGGGCTGTCACCAAATGACAGCTAGACCACATGAACAACGAGATAAACGAAGAACTGATCAGCGTATGTGCGATACCTATCGGTCAACCTATCTTTGGAAAATTTTCCACAAGTCTACGTAACCAACAGTCTGTATTGACCAAAAATTCAACGGGTAAATTTTCGATTTCATGTACATTCGTTCCTGCATTTCACTCTTATTCGGTGAAGAGTAAAACAAGGTTCTGACACCAACCAATGGCCCAACCCACAACACATGAAGTCAACAGCTGCGCCCACCTTTAGCCCGGTGCTTCATTCCTGGTTCAGTAATAAGGCAACTTAACTCACAGTGAACGCTGCCCTGTAGTTCAGGTGTTCTTTTTAGTGTTCAGTCTAACGTCCAGTCAACTTTGGTAGGTAAGAGTTGGATTTCGACTACATGGATGAATTAGCCTGTTGTCGGAGTGACACATATCGTTACACTCGCGACTATGTGCCGAACAACAGTGAGTGAGCTGGTCAATGTAACCTGCTCATTGGAAACTCCGGGAAACCAACGAACTGCTAGGGCTTTGTAGAGGCGTGGCATCAGAGTCAGATGTCAAACAAACTGGGCGAACACAGTTGAGGAGAAAACGACGGCCACGTGCCCGTAAAACTTGCGCATGTGATTCTACCCTTTGACCAGAGGCCCAGGTCAACCGGCACGGGGTCAAATCAACACGTACGTGGTCGTGTTGGCAATGCCAGAAGCAACTGGACGAACTCAATCACAAAAATCCCTCCTTTTAAGAGTCGACAAGACTTGCTGACCGAATTGGGGTAGGGGGAAAACGGGTAACCAAAACCGTCTCAAATGCTATGGGCAAAATAAGGTCTTTGTTTCTCGTGGAGAAATTTAGGCAAAGCAGGTAAATGGGGAGCTTGTGAAGTCAGTTGCAACCAATCCACCACATAAAGTGACTGCACCGAGCCTACATGATTATCAGACGTTCAGCAACAGGGGGTGTTATTTTCCATGATGGTAGTCTGGTTGGTTACTTCTGGCGTTCACAGTGCAAATTAGGGTTTGATGAATTCGAAAACCCAGATTTTTTATTGTGAACTGGACCCGCCTGGTTGAGGTATGCCGACTAATAGAAAATGCTAAATTCTGGGACCCTCCGGGCAAAATACGAGCGTGGATATCACAGATTGTCGTTGCAGTCCATTCACTCTAAAAGCTGAAAAACATCGATCCTATGGCCGCTCGGAGAGCCTAGAGTCCAGCTGAAATGGCGAATCTGTATATCTGCCTGAACCATTGCTGCGCATCAAGCCAAAAGTCCAGGTTACGCTGAAACTCCGAGGACGAGAACAGCTTTCTCTTAGACAATGTCACCCCCCTAGCGTTGAAACTGTGTGCAACGGCATTTCGCGTTCCAGTCTAATATTCAAAGATTCCACGTTGACCGTTTCCCTTGATGTGAAAGTTGCTTTTGACTATGTCGATCGTCAGAAGCCCTGGCGGTGTTTGGCGATCAAAGCACTATATGTGAACTCCTGTAGGGGTGTACGAGAATACAGCAAGCTTTCGTTTGAGTTCACCATGTTCAGTGACATAGAACAAGGCTGACCTCTTTCACCGCCCCTGCTCAAATTTGTTATTGGTGTGCTGCTTGAAATTGCTCTGCCCGCCTCTGAAACCTCGGGGGTTGAAATTTCCCGGGGGGTTCGCCGAGACATTGAGTATTCAGATGATACTTCTCTCCTTTGCTCAGCTCCCTTACAAATACAAGCCATTCTGACGCACCGCTTGGTATGTGCCGCTATATACTGCTACCGGCCTCGGGAAAAGTTCCTAGGGACTGGCTGAAGTCGAGATTATGAAGTCGGGAAGACCAGGACAGCTTTCACCAACCACCGACACGTCTGGCACCGATGTGACGTCAGTTTGTCTGACAAGGGCATAGGACACACTGCGGCAGTGTGATCCGAACAGCTTTGTGGATCAGAAACGTGAACCCTACATGCAGAGAACATAAGAGAGCTGTCAGTGTCTCAGAAATAGTGAGCGGGTCTTGTAGGAACGCCGAGTTAGTATGAAAGCACTAACCAGTAAAACCCGGTCGGGTTGATAGCTGACGCCTCTCTGGATGTAGACCTTTGGACGGACTCGTCAGCGGTGTTTGAAAACTGACGTGCTTCCGATGACGATGATGAACAAACACAGCTTTGACTATATTTTATAACCAAACAATTGGATAGCACAGCATTTATCTGACACGTAAGAGTTAACGGATGCATCCCATTAACTGCGTCCATCATTGCGTCTGCATGGTATTACAGCGTTCTTATTCGAAAATGCCTAACTTCCTGTCATATTAATAATAACTTTACACCTTTACAGGCGTAAGAACAAACAGTATGGATACAAAACATGGATACAAAACAAGAGATTCAAACAAGCTCAGTCATTCTCAAGATTGCATAGAACAAAGAGAGATGCATTTAGCCAACCTCAACGCAGTCACGTGGTTAACTGAACTATGACAGCGAAGCATCAGTGCTGAACATTGATTCTGTGCTGTCGATTATGATAACGATGATTGGCTAAACCGACTACACTTGTTCATACGCTTTTTTCATCTGCACAAGTTCTATAGAAAAGCAAACTGACCAATTCACTAACAGAAAACCAGAGTGAAGGAGCCAGAAGGACAGATATGAGTTAGTACCAAGACAGCGGAAATGTATTTCTGGGCAACGCTCGGTATGACATTCGTATATCCGATGGGTCCCTCGGGCAACCATCATTCCATGATTAACTTCGCTGATCTGATACCAGTAGGATAACATAGGGATGGAATAGCATGCTTGTAGATCTGTTCAACACCTGGCAGCCGCAAACAACGTTGGCAACTGAACAGGACCAACGCGGTGAGAAAGACGTGAAGTGTATGGAGCACGAATCATGCAGAAGTTCATGCATGGAGGTATTCTAAGCATATAACTCACTTGTACAGCTTAACCTTCCAGTCGTAAAGGTTATCGTTCTGTAGTTCTACCGTAAAGATACCTGGAACGGTAGGTAGATAGAACAACGAGTATCAGAACACCGAGTTCAAAATGCCAAAAGTCCAAACAAAAAGAAAACTGGTACAGGTGACTCACCCCGTTTGTAACTATCGGACCGGTAAATCTCACGCAGTTCTTTCATCAGACGATCGGATGATTGTATTGATCCTTTGGTCACGCCCTATTGTGGGGAAGGAAAGTAATACACGGCGTTTACGTAGAAATGATCGCTCTACCGGTGGTTAGGAACGGTATAAATCAATGCAATACAGAGCTGTTCCGACTTAGGATTGCGAGCGCAACAGGAGTGGAAATGCGCTTCCTGGTCCACACTAGAAACGATGTTGCAAGGAGGAAAAGAAGAAAAACTAAGGGGGTCCACGCGTTTTAAACAATTACGTAAGGTAACGTAGCAGTTGAAGCACGCAAGAAGAGGACAGAGTCAATATCAATCTCAAGCACGGTTTGAACGTTTCTCTTCTGCAAGCTGGTCATGCCTGTGGACTTGGAGTTAAACGACGGTAGGACGAAAAAGCAAGATGAACTGCCCGGGTTACCAACGCAAACTAAACCTTGTAATGTCCACAAGTTGGTGTTGAAATGGATTGGCCATTTCGCAAGCGGACAAGGACATATAGAGCTCGGTCTCCAAATTCGACTCACAAGATTAGACAGGTCATGAAAAAAAAACAGAGAAACAATCTACACGTCCAAGTCTACAATGACAGTGATGGAAACTAGGGTTGAGAAAATCAAAGTGATGAGCTGAAATACAATCTTAAGTTGTGGAACCACATTAGCAGGACAGAACGAAGTTATCATACACGATGAAAGTTAATCCTACCTCGGCGCACAACTGGAGTCGATTAGCTTTCAACTTTTCCAACTGTTCTGCATCCTCGACGGATATGCCATCGTACTCGGGTCGATCTTCCGAGGAGGCTCTAAAAGATGAAAAAACGAAAAAAAACGTTGAGGCTGAAGGAAGGGACTGTAATACTATATTGAATTTATTCAAAAACGACTACAGATCAGTCCTGTGTAATTAACATGCAGAGGAATGTGAAAAAGGGAGAATAATCAAATCAGAAGTATTCGAATTTATGATGCAGTTTCTCAACGGTTTATTTCCGGCGGTTAGGGGACAAAACAAAATCGAGTTCGGAAGTAACGCATAAGTACTAAACAAGCGTAACCTCCTTATGAGTCACTAGAGTTGTTGGAAATCTTGTTCGTTCGGGTGGACATCACAGTGCAACGGCTGATGAGTAGCCGGAGTTGTGATTCTGATCCAATCTGATCACCCGGTTCCGAGAAAACTGGTTCAGCGACTCTGTGAACGGGCCAGTGTGACAACTGACCGGATCTTATCCTTGAATAATGGAACATAAAAACTCCTATTTTATACTTCGGAGTAAAAATAGAGTTTTCTGGTGCTTCAACACGGCGGTCGTCTGTACCTCATCCGAGACCGTCAACAAACGCGTTAAGCTGACGTACTTTTAGGATATGGAGAAGATGGGATATTCAAGGAATAAGGGAAATAATGACAGGTGTTGGAGCCTGACGCTAAAAGTAATGTGGGTTTAGAAAAGGAGTTCCTCTGACGGGGATCGATACAACGAGCTCAAAGTTTCAAAGGGGATACAAACAAGCCTAAAAGCTTATCGCCAATAAAGTGTAGAAGACAACTTTTTTATGAGTATGGGACGCTTTCTGGAGAACAATGCGGCCCATTATATCTGATAATAGGTTTCACTTTGCAACTTAAAATCAGCGGTTCATCGCAAGCTGCACACGTCCGTGAGAAAGGCCTCAAAACGGAATTTAAGATGCATGTTCAAAGACTGTGAATTCCGCAGCATTAAATTTGAACCTTGAGTGCGAAAAGCTCGTGCCACTTTTACCGTTGATTACTTCGATCACAAAAGCCTTTCGGGGGCCTGTTGCACGTACGAGTCGGAACAATTTTCGCACACGCAGTTTTTCGCTTTCTCTGTGAGTTTAGCTCTCTGGAGCCAAGAATACACCAGATCTGCGTAAATACTGTTCCCCCCCTGATGCCTGACAAATCATCCAGTTGTATTGTACTCTCGATCAGCAGTCTGAGCCTTAAGCAAGTTTAGAGTTTTGCTCCAGATCTAATCAGTTGCGCCGTTTCACAAGCAGAATGCCCACCACCTTTCGGGGCTATGCATAATACCTTCCAGTAAAAGTCGATGTCAGGAGATTCACTATCCATAAGAGTGGTTTCTATAAGTTTGCCACATAATGAGGTCAGACAGCCTCTTCCGCACTCCCGGGAAGCGGAAATAAAAACAGCAACAGCGTGACCAGGGTTCACACAGGTATTCCAGAACCACAGCCATCTGCAGCTGATAGAGATATAGCCCACTTGCGTGGGGTTTCTGCTCTCATGTGGGGCTGAGAGGTAGCATGTGGCCAACCGGTTCCCGAAGTTTACTACATGGGAATAGTTTGCAGCCGTGTAGCGGACATCCATGCGTCTTGACTCGAAGCCAAAGTGATTACCAAGCTGAGCCTCAGCAACCTCAGCGTGTTCACTTGCCCGGCAAAACAATACCTGAGCTTCTAGCCTGCCATAATAAAGCACTCAAAACGTTGTTAGATGTCTTTTGGAGCTACAATTTGGTGGAGCGTAAACGATTTACGGGATGCTTTCACGGACGTTGCCAGACGAACCACACACACGCAAATGTCAAGCGGCATCCGCTCAGGTGGAAATCTATCGGCTCGGTGGCCTAAAAAAATACCCACCCCGGCAGAACCAGACGCGGGCGATTTTGCGCAGTTGGAAGCAAGAGAGAGGTCATATCAACTAACGTGCTACCTTGAAGAGATAGTACGCAACAATAGAAAGTGAGTCCAGTCAACAGATCAGAAAAGTCTGCTATCCGGAATGTTTCAGTGTGACCGTTGAACGCTGCCAGATGAACTGAGTGCCAGGATGTGAAGGATGAGTTTTAAGTATTTGAAATCGTGGTGGTTGAGTTAAGCGTGAATATTGTGGTTAAACATAGTGGGCGTTGAACGTAAGTGTCAATACGTAATGGATCTACGAAGAGAATGCCGCTGACTAAACGAGGGGACAGCAAGGCTGTTGAATACACACCGGCAGTAGCCTGTTTTCTTGCTGTATGCAGCAAGTAAGACACACCGGTTGATGGCACTACGTGATAGTCGATGTAACATGAAGAACTTGGGCTGGAAAACTTCCTGTGGCCCAGGCCTAGACGAGAGGAAGATTAGGTTCCTGAACCAGGTTGTTTGAATCAAAAGCAGAAACGTAAGTCAATGGAGAGTGGCGTGAGACCACCACATGGCCTGACATCCAACCTGGGAGACTAGGAGGGGAATCTGTTGGTCAGATCTTTATCTATTCACTGACCTGCTATAAAAGGCTGTGAGTGCGACAAGTACACCATCTGTTACGGCTCAGTTGGTTACGGCAATACAGACACGCTGCGGCCATTATGTCTCCACCCAGGAGGGCATATCATACCAGCAGAGACAAAATTTACGAAACTTTCTCCATACCATTCTTCCAAATCACACAGTATGCAACTAACTGTTATTGCTATTCTGATGAATGCGAAAAGATGACTCCGCATTTGTAGCAAACGGCTGAGTCCACGCAGCGCAGCCCAGAACCAGTCCCGTAATTAACTAGTTACGATTCGCTGACGTCAGGCTGTACCAGGCACAGTTGTGGTGACCAGTAATCCGAAGGAGCCGGAGTACTATTGTTGTTCTTGATATTTTCACCAAGAAGGAATCACATCAAGTCACTTCAACAACCTGTGAACGTTTGCGGTGCCTCTCACTTGGCAATTTTGGCGAGGTGGTGCTCCTGGTCTGCAATCTTACCCGGTGTCTCACGCATCTGATAATCCTCGAAAGAGAATTGTGATTGTCATCGAGGGCCTGGAGCAGAGCCACGTAGTGTCAGAGACCCGATACAACCGGCTGGATTACATCGCAGAGAGAAGACCCAACTTCAGATGCGGCTGTGAATCTCACATTCCAATGATAGTTAACATTCCAAATCAGTTAGACTGACAAGCATCAAAGAAGACCATTCTGATATATTTGTGAGGGTTTAGTTACTTAAGGGTCAGGCGAAATGAATGCACTTTGCGTACGCTAGAGGGCACTATGAGTAGCGGCACTGAGTGGCTGACCGATGGAAGACGAAGGGTCTACGCTATAGTCGACTGGATTCTAGAATATTCCTGCACTACTATTCCATTCGCAATCCAAACAATTAAGGAACTCTCATTCTTAACATGCTGTGTACGTTATACAACAGCATCCCAAAGGACCAGGTTCATTTGAACTAAGTCCATCCTTTTGGGGAGAATACGAGTGTTCCGAATTTAATACGATTTGTTTGTTCCTGTGAAAACAGGTCATTCTCCGGGAAGAGTACAATAGCTCTTTTTCCGTCCGAAATGTGTCTTGCGGAGTCCGTGAATAGAAAAACCAAAGTCCATGTTGCTGGCTATTGGTTTGGTGATGGGATCCAAGGTTGGGGGCGAGATGGCTCAAGTGGTTAGAGCGCGGATTTACTGACCGGAGGACCCATGCTTCGAACCCGACCTCTGCCTCTCGACTTCCCCTGTCTAGGCTTGGTCAACCTGGTAGTATCCCAGCCCTAGAGCTTCCTTCGGGTAGCATGGCAGCTAGGCATCGGAAGAGTGTTACAGCTGAGCGGAACGGGGATCCAAGGTTTGATCAAATCTGCTCCATAAACAAACAGTGGCAACAGTTGGACCCGGATGAAAGTACAAGGCGATCAGCGGTGAAAAGGCTTACTGTATTTCGGTTGGTTTACTAACACTCAAGAACTATTGAAGTAGGCGACGATGCGGGCCATGATAACTCCAGTCGGTCCGTTCACAAACGGAACTATCATGTTGATTGACCATCGGAACAGCCCATTTATCTCAGATCGCTCTGTGATCCTGAGAAACAGTGACCTAAATGCTCATTCCTATCTGATAGAACGGAGGGGCTGTCTCTCTGGGCTCTATACATTGTACGAACCAAGTCACCAGGTATGAGACAGCTCCAAGCAAATGTTAGGACGCCTGACAAGCGAAACCGCCTTAACAGCAACAGACAGCTGAACGTGGGCTATCAGAACAGAATACTTAGTAAACTAGGCCACATCCATCAGATAATCATGTCGAATGAGAGACGTTTGCAGTTTTAGCTCACACCTTGTAGCAGGCCATCTGTAACTCAGTTCAAAACTGTTTGCAGTTTATGACACTTGAACCAGTGAAAACAAAATGGCGACTATGAATCGGCGCAAGCATGGCGGGATGTGTGTGTGTGTGTGTGTGCGCAGTGGATCTAGTGCAAATAAAATTAAGTAATTTACCGACTGAAGGCAGTATATCAAATGCCGACTATCTATAAACAACCAGTAGAGTTTGAATAAGCTATTGTGAAGTATACGCAAGCCTGTAAATGGAAGTGAAGACTAGAAATTAGTCGCCTGGGTGACGATAAACAGGTCAGTCACATTTGGGTGATGTGCAAGTCACGACAGGAATCAACCGTAAAACATGCCAGCTATCAGTCACATGGAAGAATAATCACACAGATCATGAAATTCAAACGCGATGAGAGTCAGCTTTCTAAGCAAATCTCATTTGTGTGTAAAAACTGTTTTACACAGGTTCGTGGGAAGTTCACAGCCGAGTGGTCGGAGACTAACAGAATAAGAAAGTAGTTTAGAGGGCAACGGTAAAAGTAGCCTTGCCTGATGAAAAAAACATAACATGACAGAAAACTCACGAGTCATCAAAGGGATCGTTTAGCTGTACATCTTCATCCTCAAATCCAGTATCTTCGGCGTCGCTGTTGGGTTCGGGGGATTCACCTCTGGGTTCGGATGACGGGGTAGCATCGGGAAGGGACTGTAATAGAAGGTATAAGGATGGGTGTTGGATGTCACACAAGAATAGAGAATAAACGAAACATGCACACTGTAAAAAGGTTTTGCTTTATTCCATACGTCCAAAGGTACGATATGTTGTAGGAAAGCAGCAGAAGCTCGGATCAAGTTAAACTTATCGACCCTTGTGTCAACTGGCCACCGGAGTCAGCCGACAAATAGATTCCGTTCCATGGTAAGGCAGGGAGGCATTGGTGTTGAACACTCATATCATGCTGTGGATGATGATAATGATGATCCATTCCATGTGTGGAAGTAGTTAGAGCGCGAAGTTACTAAACGGGAGTTCCGAAGTTCGAACTCAACCCCGACTTCTCGATTGTTTCTGTCTACATGGCAGCTTTTCAGCCCCCATGTTTCCTTCGAGTGGCACTAAAAGGTGGCACAGCTGAACGATTTTGCTTGATTTGTTACGATAGAAATTAACGTCTAGATGTCATCTTGTTTTCTGTCTACCATGTAGTAAATTGACTCGTCCGGTTGCCAAGTTCGGAGGGAAATCAAACTCCATGACTCCAAAACCGATTAGCTTTGATGAATCCAACTGTTTGATTCCTGTGGCCATAAATGCTGGACAATCACGCCAGAGTAATATTCTAGTGCTCCAATGTTAGAACACTTAGAGAAAGCTTGGTGGTGAAAAGGGTGAAACGGTCTGCTACAAATACTTAGGTTATCCACACCTCTGAACACGCACCAAGACAGTCTGGATAAAAAAATTGCTCAGGCCATGATGACATCCTGTTTGGGCGTCTAACCTAAGGCTGTGTCACGTGAACCATAACATGCAAGGTGGATCGCATCGATGACACAAATCTTTCGAGTGTCACTCCGAATAGGGCAACAGCTCTGCATACGCAGCAAACTAATGGCCAGCTGTGACAGAACAATCAACAATCTGTTTTCTATGTATCCCATTGTTCATCGATGCCACTTCTGAAATGTGACGAGCTTAAGAAGTACCAAAATAATCGATAATGCTATCACCAACTGACTTCCTGATTGGCCATCAGGCAAACGATGGACGGAGCACGAACGTCATTTTTCCGTTTAGCTGAAAATGAGGGGCTACAACGATTTGGTTATTTAAGGTGCAAGTACCCACATTTTCTGACAACTTAGCTGAACTGCTAACAAAACCACTTGCATCCAACCTTACTCACATTGAAAAACTCAGTCCCCGCAGAGAGGTGTCAATACAAGTGAACACCTTTTAGAATGACAGTTCGTCTGCACAGCTTCACCGCAGGACGATGACAACTTAGGATATCTATTTTAATTGTGTGAATGACCGACCAACGCTTGCGTACCCCAGTCATGAAGGATCCGATCGTTCGGATCGGCACGGTACTCAGCGTTTCCATATGGTAGCGGTTCATAACCTGGAAGAATGGGAATTCGAATACTGAATCGAATTATCTGACAGGTCCTCAATGAATTCGCAGCGTTTTGTTTTTGTTGTCCGCCAACTACGCGAATCTTAGCTGCTATTGACGAGCAGTTGCGTCGGGATTGGTGAAGTGCTTCACTCTGACGCTTATCGCTGAGGTTGAAGGTCAGAGTATAATGTGAGAATAGCCAGTTGCACTCTGCGTACCCATCCGTCGTTGTTGTTTCTTCATACGAATGCAGTCCGAACAGGCTCGAAAGGTGCCCCAATAATTCGTGATTCGCCATCGCGTCCAGATTTTGCATAGAACTTGTTGAGCAAATGAACGATAAGAGCGGTAAAGCTCATGAACAAACAGCCAGCTGAGTGAAGGAACCATCACGTGATACGTACAAGCCTGGTCTGAAGTGGGGGCCAAGACTGCTTGCGGAATTATCGAACGATAAGAGCGGTAAAGCTCATGAACAAACAGCCAGCTGAGTGAAGGAACCATCACGTGATACGTACAAGCCTGGTCTGAAGTGGGGGCCAAGACTGCTTGACGGAATTATCGTAGAGCAAACTACGGTCCCCAGATACTGTCTGCCGGGCGATGGTTTGTGGGACAGGTCTTTGTGCTATGTTGGTCTCCTGTTTACTCTCATCCAGTGGGTTTGTTATACGTGGTGCGGAAGCTGCTCTCGTTACGTACAATGTTCGTAAACCTGCCTTATTTGTTTAACCAAAGGCCCAGTTGGCATGGTAATAACTTTGTTTTTCATGGGGTTGTTATGATGGAAGTTTGGTCTCGCGTCCCGATGTGTTATACAACTGCTGATCGATACAATGCTAATGGATTGCTGGCGACAAAGAAAGTCTCCTATTGTTGTGTTCTTACTACCAAAACCCACGAAATTGTGGCGAACATTTTATATGCTGAGTGTGGAACGGCGAATTGGGCTAAGTAACGCGATTACCAACATCACTGTCAGCTAAAATCCGGACACGCCTAGTGGAGCAGTTCAGACGAACAGAGTATCCCAGAACCTTGGGCTCATTTACGAATGAAGAAACCAAATATTCTTGAAACCATTTGGAAATTGATTTGGTCCTAACGAACGACTTAACCGACATTTGACCCATATGAATTCCTCCTTTATGATATGGTTCTTGAACCGAGTGTGCTCTACAGAGACCGCCTTGCTTCAGCGGATTTGCGATTATTGCGAAAAGTCATACAACCGTTAGTTCGCATTAGCCTTCTCACTAATATACAAAATTCATCCGCCGTTATTGGCAAGTAAACACCAATATTAGTCGATATATAAATGTGTCGTCAAGCACAGTGGCGTTGGGTGGGTAATGCGAGTGGACAGACTGCATTCATAAGACTGAGGTTACTGTGCATAGTACCCGTTAATTTGTTGACCATGTGTTTCACGTCATCTGATCCGACGGGATTGACGACACAGCTAGATAGAGCACCAACACATGGATTGAAACGGGAACAGTGAATTACGTGACGACTGCTATCAAACGTACATTGTCCGTTTCAAGGTAAAAAACGTCGTAGGCAAGTGACTTATAGAAGTGTGCCAATTTAAAAGTGTAACACCAAATCGTTGTTCTCATTGAGGGATTCATTTGCGCTTGGGTAAATTCAGACATTTAAGTGATAATGAGTATTATTCACCCCCCATATTTCATGTCAACAGAATGCAATAGCTATTGCTAATAAGCCCGCTAAACAAGGGCCTAGTCAGCGGTTGAATGAAGAATCATGGTCGTACGGTGTGGCACGGAAGAGACAATTTGCTAAGAATGAAACCATCTTATTCAACCGCTGGCACGGACAAGGTGACTAGAAGGTTAATGTCCACTCCTGAAGCGATACCGAGCCGTGCGTTTCACGTGTTTTTCTTCGTTCAACACAAGTCAGTTACATGAAAACACATCAAGGACAATTTATTGTGCGCCTCAATCAATAATCCCACCTCAGGTCAGTTTGTGATCTGTACCAAGCAGCCAAACCAAACTCTTCACTGGAAGATATTATTGCATGACGCACATTTAGGATTCACACTGCTATGCCACACAGTCCATCGACGAAACGTACAGTTGTCTGGTTGTGTAAAAATGCACACGTTCCTGGGATTTACCGCTCAGCTCAGCAATGGCAGGTGTTTGGAGCGGCCTTTATGAAGGCGCAAACTCATTCGGAAAAAGGAAGCCATTCTCACGATCTGAGGATCACCCCATTTACTACAATCATTACGTTCTCACTTCTCTCGAAGAAGTGGATAGCGACAGCAAAATACGAACTGGTTCTGAGACCAGCATCAAATTTGCCATACTTTTGGTAAAAACAAACCGCTCCTAGTGAAGGTTCGTGGGAGGCGTTTAATCAGGCTAGTGGTCGAGACAGTTCGGTGATCAAGCCACGAACTTGCTGACCGTGACGTCCTTCTTTCGAATCCAACCCCAGCTTCTCGGCTATTCCCGTCTGGAGTTTGGGAATCCCGAAAGTACCTCAGCCCTTGTGCTTCCTCCGGGTATCATTGCAACTGAACAACAATTGAACAATTCACTGAAGCTACGGTATGAGGAACTAGCCCTGTTGAGCTCGCAAAATTCACGCACAGGATCTACACTAACACGATTAATAATCATAATCGTTCAGCTGTAGCACCCTTTTGATTCCTAGCTGCCATGCCACCAGAAGGAGGCATGAGTGCTGGGATACTGCCACGCTGCCCAAGCCTATACCGGGGAATACATACTGAAGCATCCGTCACACGTAGCGAACACCTGCTCTTCCCGAGAATCAGTGCGCGCCAACATCCGGACGGACTATTTCTCACGCCCGACTTCCTCGCTCCATAGAACGAAGGCTGAGCCTGGACAAATATGAATGATTTACCACTAAGATAAGTAAATAACTGAGGAATATTTGCAAAAGCCAGTCCAAAACACGCTTCATCACTGCATATGACCCAAAATCGGATTCACAAGATTGACAAGGACAGAGACTCAGCCTCGGAATCACAGTGACCATCGTTACTGTGCGCACATGAAGGTGGAAAATCAACCATACCACCAACATCTACTCTGCAACAATCCACAAATAAAATTTCAATGTCTATCATTCAGTGATAACGCCGATTAGTTCACAAATGTCGGTCAGGGTGGAAACGAGGTTAGCGATTCGTAGCACAAAAAATATTCTACAATTCTTATGCTAGGAATATCGCGTTGCGGTCATACTGAGATTAAACTGTATATGTTTGCACAACAGGGAAGCAAGGATACACTTTACCCAGGGTATTGCTCTCAGTGATGAAGAATAAACCCAAATAAATACAAACAAACGGCTTTAGCTGACGATGCGCCATGTGTATCTATCTCAAAGTTGGCAAATTGACCGTCTCTCCAGGATTTTCAGCTTCTTAGCATCAGTCGTCCATAGAGGAATGTGTGGTTACAAAAAATTGGGAGTAATCATCGAAGTTAGTGTGGGGAGATTTGGTAACTGTCACTTGAGATCTCGCCCTGTCAGGGAACCCAATCGACGTTGAGAAGTCGAGAAGTGTTGTGTATCTGTTTTATCCACATTGAAATCTGCACCGCAGATCTCATGAAACTCAGATAATTTCGAATCCATGACCTGATCAGTGGTTGAACACCTAACCGGTTTCCATCTGAGAAGTCATCAATTGAAGAGCCACTCAATACGTGACTAGGTGATGCAGTTTCCGTAACTGAAGGATGAGTGACTATAGTTTGTCTAACTCTGAGCTAATCAGTTGGCTGATCAGCCGTTGATAGCCAAACCGTTAAGTGATCAAACCACTGGACAGTAGGTCGCGGGTTCGAGACCCCCTACTGGAGTTTCGTAAGATACACACTGGCGATAATTCCCAGTAGGGACGAAATCACAATCAACGGAGCAATGGTGATGGAAACGGAGTTTAATTCACGGAAAATGCTTCCCTCGTAGAGATAATGTCTGTGTGAATGTTTTTTATACGGGGAGTCAGAAGGAGCTAAGGCTTTCATAATCATCATCGTTGGAAGCGACATCAAGAAAACACTAACGCTTCACCGCCCTAAATTCACGCCAATTTAGTTGAATAAAGGATTATGATGGAAAAAATAGGACAAAAAGGGGACCCACGGCTAGCCTTTCACAAACATCCAAAGTGCTCATGTTTCCAACATTCAGTCAGAAAATCCGGATTTTGCGTGTCGATGTGAACTAGCCCGTTTTACTCTGGCGACACCAGCTAAATAGGTTTGGTCACGTGTCTTCGATACTAAGTTGCAAGTTAATTAGCACATCATAATCAACTAATCAACCGGTCTTTCCGACTTACTACGTCGGCTTCAGTGACCGCATAACAGCGTACAAAATTTGATATAGAATGTCCTACTTGCAAACCTTAACGTGAGACGATTTTCGAAGTCATTGTGGAGAAGAAAGTCGAATAGAGAAACTTGCAGGGATGAGTGGAAAGTCATACTCAGATTGTTTCTACAGACGAAATGCGTCGAACGAACGTGTGTCAAAAGTGTATGCAAACGGAAAAGTGAGGACGATAACAACGACAAAAACAACAAAATGCAGACGTACCAAGTCAGGTTCGAAATCAGGACAAAGTGTCTGTAACTCAGTGGGATAGGGAACGTTGAAATATCGACACAACTGCGTCACCAACATTTTCACTTGTCTGTCAAGCTACAAAGGGAATCACGTGATCGACATAAACAACGAACGAACTGTATAGTTTGTCGGATCTGTGTTTTGAAGCTGATCGAAAATACGAGTGATCAATGGATCATCAGAGTCGGAGAACCAGATGGGGGGAGACCGGGGATATGTACCCTGAAGAAAATAAATGAAAATAAGAAATCAAAGTGATTAGACCATGGTCTGTAAACATTTAAGGTGAAATGTTGGAGGAAATTGTTTCATGTGGTTGCCAATGGTAGAATATCTCCATTAAAAAACGACATTCGTGTGATGTCTAACTTAATGGATACGTACACATTTGTGGAATTCGGAAAGTGAATCACGCAAAGATTCGAAAATGAAAGCTGTCGAAACGATGACCGAGGAAAGACGCACAAAATCAGAGAATGAGACGTTGAAGAGGACGGAACTCGGAAAGAATCAAGCAACCTGATTACGAAAGTGAACACGATCAGTAAGCACCTATGTTGGGTTTGAATTAGTCACAGCGGATGAAATCAGTCTAGGTGACGACTGACTTTGAAAAACCCGGAAGTAACTCGCACGAACACGCCTACACCTAGGCTGCGTTAGAAGTAGCTACAACTATCATGGCACAAATTCTTTCTAGCTGGTACTCAAGAATTTCAAGTATGCCTGCATGTTTAAATACGGTTAAATGTTTCGCAGTCAACCTCCTCTTCAACACAATGTACCATTGTGGCTGCTTGAAGACTAGTGATCCTAATTTGGCACTCAAGATGGCGAACCTCATGGCGATAGCTCGAGAAGTCTACCGTCTATAATTTGCGTTCCTTGTGTGATTATTCGATTATCCCGGTCGCGCGGAAAGTCATATAGTGATGGCGTTTGGACTGTCCATCCGAAAGATATAGAACGGCGACATAATCCCTCGTTGCAATCACTAGTGTGCTATCACTGCACAGTAGTGGCACTGATTGCCACATCTTTTGTGCATACCATCCGTAAATGATCAACCAGCACAAGAGGAGACGGGCTTCTTCACAGAGACATTTAAAGAAATCGTTCAACTGAGATACTACCAGGTTGCCCAAATTTAGACAGGAGCAGTCGAGGTGCAGAGGTTGGGTTCGAATCCCGGACCTTCCGGTCAGCGAATTCGCGCTGTAACCACTGAGCCATCTCGTCCCTATGTGATGATTCAGATGCATCCAGCATGTACTGGTGGAGTAGTGGAAACACGCCTGACTCGCGTCTTTGATGTTCGGGATGAGTTGATGTGGCAGTGTACTGAGAGAGCAACTTGAGTTCGGTGATTCCCCTCGCTGATAGTTTCGTGTGACTTACAGTGGCAAAATAATCCACCCTAGATCATTCGGCACCATTTATCCAAAATCATTTTATTTTTCAACCTGGCATGTCACATATCCATCAAACTGCTGAAACGACCGTATCAGTAGCTCGGTGGTACTGAAATGTTCTCTTTTTTATAAATAGTGGAAGCATCTTTTAGGAAACGAGGATATGTCCACTTCCCCATGTGTACTCCGATTGCGTGCGTTAGTTGTGATGGACAGTGCTCCTGCGGTTGGCCGGCTTCGTACCTGGTGATACCCAATAGACGTACTCCGAAAAGATCATCCGGATAGAGGGCTGCAACCGTGGCGCAATGGTCGGATTTAAGTGTTGCAACGACCACTGTTCCCATCGCATCACTATCACTACCATTGAAATTGAAATACTGGTACATCACGGCCGCACAACCGTGATTTTCTATCACTCTTAGAAGGCTAAGATAAAACGAAAAGCCACTGTAAACTATTCTGCTAACTCGATGAAGATACCTGCTACTAAACCGGAAATACTTTCTGAACGTTTTGTGCAAATCAACTGACGCCTAAAAGTCAGAGAGTTATAGTTCCGAACCATTGGTTGTCACAGACCTGTCTCACATCTTTTGATCGAAGAGACGGTCTCACTTTTACGCAGGGTCGCGAATACTTTGACCTTATAGACGCAACAATTAAAGCCTAGCCATGTCGACTCGACCCCATAACTCTTGCAGATTAGTGAACGTGATGGAGGCTTTGGGTTTCCTCTATTGAAATCTGAAATAACTCCCCAGACATATAATGTGCTTTACGAACTCCATCATCTCTCCTCCAACAATGATCAATGTGTTAACAGATTCACGGCGGGTTAGAAATTTACCACGTCGAGAATGGGGTGAAATTAGGAACCAAGTGACACTTGACTACTGCCACGTGCCTGGTATAAGGAGGAAGGACAAAAATTTGCACACATAACGAAACTCACTGAGAGAATTCGGGAGGCAAAATTATTGGAGAAGGACCATTATCTACTATTGTTCCACCCTGTGTAGTCTTAAAACGCTCGTGAGGAAGTCGCGAAAACGAGTAGTTAGGTTGTGAATGTACTGAAGAAATTCTCAACTTGCATCACCCGTGTCAATCACATTCATGCACGAGTCAACTGCCAATAAAACTGGGGCTACGCCAATAGTCCCGGGGCTCGACATTCAGTCTGGAGATACCTTGAGGTTTTTGAGTATGCGAACAATATTGCGAAACAACTAATTATTCTGAATAATGTTGCCATACGATTAGGTATGCAACTGCGAGACTGAATGGGATCACCACCTAACTTGTCCATCACACGGTCATCTAAGCGTTCACATCGCTAATGGCGGATAAAGAAATGGGTGATGGGGCAGCCAGAGTACCAACTTCTTTCGTCCGCAGTCGAGGTGATACTGGCCCGTCACTGAAAAGCAGGGTATACAACGCAACGATTCATTTGATGCCGCCTTACGGTTGTGAGAAAGAAGAAAGCGTTCAGCTGTAGCACCCTTCCAGTGCCTAGCTGCCATACCACCCGAAGGAAGCACGAGGGCTGGGATATTGCCAGGTTGCCGAAGCCTAGACAGGGGAAGTCGAGTGGCGGAGGTCGGATTCGAACCACGGACCTTCCGGTCAGTAAATTCGCGCTCTAACCACTTGGGCCATCTCGTTACTGTATACTGGAGGCAAAAGGGGATTGCCATTGACCATTGGTACACTTCGAAGTACTGTATATGAACCGAGGGGAAATCGGCTTGGCTGAAGTTCCACAAATATTTTTACCAGTAAATGTACTGCACGGCCATTTTTCCTGTTAGTTTCACGGACTAGGCGGAACTGGTCATGTGCAGCATACACCAAAAGTCGTTTAGCCCTAACAACCTTTCGGTGTCTAACCGCTATGCCATCCGGAGAATGTACGAGGGCGAAGATACTGTCAGGTTGCCCAAGCCTAGACAGAAGCAATCGATGTATCGGGGTCATATTCGAACCGCCGACCTTTCGTTTGGTAGGTTCGCGCCTCAGCCACTGAGCTATTTCAAGCAGCGAATGTCAGGAGATCGACTGCTCCACTCCTATTTACTGAAGCAAAAACTGATTGAAATATCGTGCGAACTGATTAATGTGTGACCGAGACGAAGCGCACAGTAAGAGAACGGGTGCTATTTGTGCCGTTTATGCCATTACTAAGTTAGCGTACCAAATAACCACGCCAGCAAAGTCTGGAGGCGCGCACCTTTTGGTCTTCCGCCTTGGGCACTTCTGGTGAAACTCATGTGATTACCCCAGATATGTCAACAGTGTCTGACCGGATGAGCCAAGGTCTCCTTGACAAGAGTCCTATACCTGGGTTACCCCCAGCCGAATTGAAAACTCTCTACAGAACCCATCTGTGTGAACAGGAATGCACGGCTTTATTCCCCAAACAGGGAATGTCAGCTCCCGGGATTCCAAGGTATATATATGCTCTTCCACAAGCTATTCCACTCTTATTTGGATTACCTAGTGCAGTTCTTGCAGACGCGCCTCTCGAAACCGCTCCCAGTCTTACCGATCCTAGTGCTCAACTCCAAACAACAACCATCGGCTCAGCTACAATTTTCAAACTAGATTAGCCCACTGCAAAATGTCTCGCCGATACCCAACCACTCACTGGCAACCTGCGAACAATTTCTCGTCGTCTCAAAGTAGTGCCGGCTTATCTTGCAGTGGAAAGTGTTTGCCGGGGCCTAATCCTGTCTCTCTGATAATGCATTTCTAGAATGTAACTTTCCCCCACGAACATTCTGTCTCAAAAGCTAGTTTCAATAGTCTATTTTCCCCAATCCACATAACCACCAATCATTTGAAAAAGGATTTAATGGTCATCTTAACTTCTTTGAGATGCATATTGGTGTTGTGCCATTGTGACGATTTGTTCCGGTTCTTCTATAATGCACATGTATGATAAAAAGAAAGAAACACAACAACCAGCAAGGAAGGGGATAGCCTATACAAATTCATAACACAACTCTAAAGAGCAGCTAGTCATTAAGAAAAGTGAGGGTGTGAAGGTTACCCGAAAGTTAACTTACCATATCGGGATGCAGATGGACGGTCTAAGGTAGCCCAATTAAGTCCCAGGAACTTTAAGGTGGCTGTCGAGTCCGATGTACGCGGCGGTAATATGACGTCTGCCGCAAGCTAACAGGAATGAAAGACTAGTACAAATCACGTCCACTTAGGACGTGCGAATCCGACAAACCCGAGCTTTCCAAGAAGCACAAGAGGGTGAGAAATCTTGAAGTAACACCACAAGTCCAAGATGTATACCAAAACGTAGGGAAAAACCGTTGTTTTCTAGTTAAAGTATGTTGCACAGACAAGTAATCGTTGAACGACATAAATGCATCGTCCACGTAACTTGAATCCGTCAATCTCACCAAAGGCATGATTACGACATCTAAATTGACGTCCCCATGGAGTGTGTGCTCCATGATGACATCCATGACAAGAGTGAAAAAAGAAGAGATGGGACAACTCTGATGAACCCTAGTTGTCAGGAAAGTCTGGATGGGTCATTGTATTGTCTGAGAATACCAAACCGCGGCAATCCAGGGACACTAAAACTGTGGACAATTTATACGTATACCTTCGTTTTGGTCAAAGTAGCATCTACTAAAGCCGAATCCCACGTGCTGCTGTAGAGTCGACGATTCACGGGTCACAATAAAGCGGCAAAGGACAACTGAAGCCGAGAGCTGACCCCCTGAGATTACCGCACTCATCACTAAGCCCTTTCTGGAACATGGGCACTATTCCGATTCTTTC